AGAAGTGGACAATTTCATGGATGGCAGACGTGTTCAAAAAGAGATTTTAAACAATTAGGTGCTGTGCTTCTAAAAGGCTGTGCTTCTGCATGGCCAAAATGGGTTTTGATAAAAAGAATGTGCTCCCAGTAAACACGAAAGCTTCAAGGCCGGCAAACTGGAAAGTTAACATGTTGTTGCTGAGTAATTGAGCTAGAACTCGCTCCTAGCTAACCCTCCAGAGGGTTTTCACAGGCAGTACATCAGACAGGTTACTGCTCATCTTTCTCCCAGGAAGCAGCAGGTAGATTTGAGCTGTACCTTTGAGTTGGCAGCACAGTTCATTACCACCAAGCCACCAGTGCTCCCTGATATGCTTCATACAGTAGAAACATTATTGCCTACATGGTCTGGTGTTTCTGTATTCCATTTCTTTAACTATGTCCAGTTTTCCTACATTCATGTTTCTCACATTCCATGTTCCAATCATTAGTGTCTGCTTACAACTATTCCTTTTTTGTGTGTTTCCAAATTTGAGGGCTCAGCCTCAGGTGCCGTACCTGCTAGTCTACTCTAAGTGTGCTCTACTGTACATCAGGTTTTTGAAGGCTTGTTATTTTAGAAGTGGATGGCCAATCCTTCTTCCTAGTCTGTCTTAGTTTGGATGCTTAGCTTTAGAACGATATATGACAGGAAAGCATTTTCGCAAAAGGAGCATTTAAAGATATTCTCCAATTACAGAAGTAACTTATAGATGCAGTGTCAGTCCACCCCACGTTGGCTCATGTTTTGTCCCATCTCCTTCCCTGCTCCACAACATTCCCTTCCACTCCCACCTACCCCATCCAGCACCTCCCTAACCCTAGCCAACCCTTGACATGACAGCTCAAGCCTCAGGTCACTTCTGTGATGCCTTGAGCCTGGCGCTGCTGTTGATCTCTACTGAGGCTGTCAGTTTCTCTTGAGTTTAAGAGGTTCTATCACCCAAGCATTGAGGACCCTCCTTCACAGGGTCGCTATGAGTTGCCTGCAACTTGACCGCACTTAACAACAACATCCTGGCTTTAAGGAAGGATTTCTGCCTTAAGTAGTATTGGGGAAAGGTACTTTCCCTGGCATTCTGTTCCGGGTCTGTCTTCTTGTGATTTAGTATCTCTGTTCTTCTGTTTGCTACACATGGCTGTCACAACTGGATAATTTCCCAGATGAGGTGATGTCTCCTCTAGGTCTGAGACATTATCACCAAGGTCAGATGCACCTTGTCTGAAATAAAAATGTACCAGAGGAATGTCTATCTGAATTTAATTGACCATGCAAAGGCATTTTACTGCGTGGACCATAACAAATTTTGGCTAACCTTGAGAAGAATGGGAATCCCAGAACACTTGTTTGTGCTTATGTGAAACCCATACGTGGACCAGGAAGCAGTTGTCAGAACAGAGCAAGGAAACACTCTATGGTTCAAAATCAGGAAAGGGGTGCATCAGGGATGCATTCTGGCTCCATATCTTTTCAATCTGCATTGAGAAGGCTGTAATTTATAAGGAGGAATGTGGCATCAGGACTGGAGGAGGTCTCATCAACAAACTGCATTATGCAGATACGACTTTTCTTGCTGAAACTGTGGAGGAACTGAAGCGTTTGCTGCAGAATGTCAGACTATAGTCTTCAATATGGATTGAAGCTCAATATCAAGAAGACAAAGATTCTCACCTGTGGGCCAGTTAGGGAGTACCACAATAGATGGAGAAGAGATTGAGATTGCTAACAATTTCAGCTTGCTCTGCTCCACAATCAATGCTCTTGGTGCCAGCAGTCAGGAAATCAAAAGGCAAATTGCACTGGGCAAGTGTGCTGTCAGAGACCTCTCCCAAATGCAATGATACAATGATATCAGTCTAGGGTATAAGGTGTGTGTAATTCAGGCCATGACCTTCACAATTACATGCTATGCATCAGAGAGCTGGACAATGACTAAGGATGACAGAAGAGTTGATGACTTTGAGTTGTGGTGCTGGAGAAGTCTTCAACATACCATGGACCAACAAGAAAATTAACAGGTCTGTCTTGGAGAGAGTGAAACCAAGCTTCTCCTTGAAGGCAAGGATTTTGAAACTTTGTCTGATATACTTTGGGCACTTGGCCCAGAAGGACCAGTTCTTGAAGAAGGACAACACAGCAGAGGAAGACTCTGGATTAGATGGATTGACACAGTAAATGGGGTAATGGGAGTAGATGTGTTATGTGTCAGTGAGACTGATTCAGAATATGGCAGAGTTTAGAGCTATTGTGCATATGGTTGCTATGAGTCATAGGTGACTTGATGGCACATAACAACAGTATGCTCTGGTATAAGTTATCTAGGTGCTGCAGTTTATTATTTGCCTAACCTAGCAGAAAGGACCACTAAACTTCAGATGTACCTCTTCTTAATTCGGTAGGAGCTGTCTCCAACCTACATCCTTAGTCAGTTTATGGTGTGGTGCTTATTCTCTGGGATTAAACAAAGAGAAAACCCAAACCCATTGCTTTGGGATCAGTTCTGACTCCTGGAGACCCTCAGTTTCAAGGGTATAAATCTAACTAGGAGCGGAATTCCTCTTCATTTGTCTCCCACCTGGCTGGTGAATTAGATTCCGTCCCTCTTCCACCGACTGGGCTTCCCACCTTCCATTTGAAGCTGAATATACAAGAGTGGCAGTATTGTCACCACCAAGGTTCCAGTTCAGAAGGTCTTTGACTTCCTTCTAATAAAAATACTAAGAGGAGGAGCATGGAAGAATGAACTTTCACTTGCACCAAGTAAAAACAAGACAGGTGTCCTGTGTTTTTGAAAAAGACTGTAAGTAAAATTATGCAGGACCACTTACAGGCTAAGTACCTATGAAATAGTTTACATTTTTATAATATTTTGAGGGAGAGGCAGAGATGCCCACATAACTGATGGTCAAGATGTTGCCTGTCTGGCTAAGTGCCCACAACAGCTTTGTCCTCACTGGGGATGCATTATAATTTCTTCTCCATGGACCTGGGTTTGATTCGGTTTCTGGTTGAGATGCTCACTGCTGCTTTCTCTGGAAGGTTATGTTAACTTCTCCTTCTTTTTCTTCCTGCGCACGTGTGGCACTTGAAAGCTCTTGCTGATAACTTTAAAAGGAATCACTTGTAAAGTTAATGGTTAACGAGAAGGAACGTCTGAGGCTGCCTGTATTAGCTGAATTCTGCTGTTGGTTATGGACAGTGTGCCTGGGCCTTGTGACAAACATCTAGTAGCCACCATCATTCTATTATTTATCCTGTTTCAGTGCTGTGAAAACACACAGGGAAGTCAGGGAAAGGCACCACTTTGAGGGAAAGTATATTTGTTTGAGACACTGATGTGCTGGTGGGGTTGTTGTTAGGTGTCCTCAGTCAAGCACGGCTCACAGTAATTCTATGACTAATAGGTGGAAATGTGTTACAGGCAGCTGACAATCAAGACAATGGAGCTCAGGAAGCAGGTGGGGAGATACAGGTGGGGGGATGGGAACATTCAGGGAAGTCATTTAAGTTTGTGTTGTTATTATGTGCCATGTACATTAGCTCTGAACTGTGCCCTATCCTGGGACAATCTCTTTGTCTCCAACACTCCTAATCCCATTTCTCCTGTCACTGAGTCAATCCATCTCATTTGGGTCTTCTCCTGTGCTGTACCTCTACTCTTCCAAGCATGATATCCAAGGACTGGTCCCTCCTGGCCATGTGACCAGAGTACATGAGATGGAGCTTAAAAAATCTTTGCCTCCAGGGAGCAGCCTGGTTCCACCTTGTCCTGGACAGACCTGTTTGTTCTCCTGGCAGTCCACAGTACGTGGACTTCTCCAGCACTATAACTCAAAAGCTTCGATCCTTCATCTACCATCTTAGTTATTGTCTAGCTCCCTGATGCGTAGCAAGTAATTGCGAAGACCATGGCCTGGATCAGGTGCACCTTCGTCTCCAGACTAACACTGTTGCTCTTCAGTACTCTAGAAAGGTCCTTGATGGTACTTTCCCAGTGCAATTAATCTTTTGATTTCCTTACTGCTTGTGCCAAGAATGTTGACTGTGGAACCAAACAAGCTGAAGTTACCAACAATCTCAATCTCCTCCATCCATAAAGAAGCTGCCAATTGTATAAATAGGACATGAATCTAGTAACAAGCTTGAACTGTGATAAAGAGAGCGCGCGAGGTGTACGCGCACCTGTGACCCAGCAAACCAAAAACTCCACCACAATTACGGGTATTTATAACTCATGTTTGTTTTATCAGCTGTTAATTTCTCAGAAACCAATTCTTAGCCCAAACAGACCTAACTAACCAGTTTCTGGTCAAAGGATTCAATCTTGTACAAAAGGTACCTATACCAATGAGTATTCTAGACTATTTCTAGTCTAGAAGATGAGAAATACATGAACTACACAATTAAATTCCACTTCAAAGAGTGAAGACACAGTGCTCCGAACTAGAATGTAAATAGAAACACTGACGATCGCTAAGGAAAACCAACAAAATCAACGAAATGTCCCCAAGGAGGGGCATGGTGGTGCCCGCGCTTAGTCCTCACTTAAGTAAAGGTTAAAGAGGAGAAGGTAAGTAGCAGATGGAGAAAGATGAGCAAAGCTGCTTGCGTAGGTCCCAGTTGGAAGCTACCTGCGTCATCGGGCATACCCACCCCATTGCTCATCACTCAGACAATCCCAAGGAAAGGCCGCCCCGAGACCCGGGATGAGTCACGAGAGAGGAACCTAGAGAGCAAAGCAGCCCATTGGAAGGGGCTGGAGGCTGGAGGCTGGAGTCCCGGCAAGGACTACATTTCCCAGCATGCAGGGCATAAGCGAGGCCGTGCTCTCCAGGCGCTGATGGAAGACTTGCAACATGGGACTGGTAGTCGGGCTCCATGGGTGGCCCGAAGTGGGAAGTCTGATGGGGCGATCTATCGGAATTGGCTAGAGGGCATTCGAGTCCCGCCTACAAATGGTGACGACAGAAGACAGTTTTGCTACTTAAGGCGTCGTGGCCTCGCCTGCCCCGCCTTAGCTCCCGCGCTAGAGAGAAACATGCATCGTTTCCGATCACAGCTCTTCACGGGGATTTCTGCTGCCGCCACTGCCCACTCTCACCCACGCCGCTTCTCGCCTCTGTTGTTAGCCGAAGACTCGCCTCTCAGCCTCCAGCCGCACAGACGCACGAGTAAAAAGTGCAGTTCCATCGGCTGATCCTAGCTAAGCTCCGAGTCCAGGCGGCACCGGGCGTCCCACGATGCCGAAGAATAAGAAGCGGAACACTCCCCACCGCGGTGGTAGTGGTGGAGGCGGCGGCGCAGGGGCAGTTGCAGCGACGGCGACGACAGCGGGTATGGAGATACTCTCGCCACCGGCATCCCGGCTGCCGGCCGGGCTGGCGAGTCTCCCAGCTTTGGGCACAGTGGGAGTTGTAGTTCTCTCCGGCTCGGACGTTTGCAGCTCGAGGGTGTCTGACTTAGCTGGCGAACTACAATTCCCAGCGTGCCCTGGGAGACGGCCCTCGCGCGATTTGTATCTGGCGTGCTTGCTGGACACTTGGACACCGGCAGTGGGTGTGGGGAGGAAGCTGCTTCGGGTCGGGATCTGGAGTGGCGGAGAGTTAGGCGGGAAAAGTAGCCGACCTGCGATGGCTTGTGCGAGCTTGCCCGAATTCGCCTAGACGAAGGATGTGGAGCGGGCGTCCATGCTGTCACTGGCCATCTTTGACACCCGCCCCGCGCGCTTTGGGGAATGTCTGACTAGTTTGGACAGACTGTGGCGTCACGTGGCCGGGACCTTGCGCTGTGGGGCCGATGTGGTGCTGGGTCCCCATCATTCTTTCTTCTTGAGCGTCCACCTGGCTGTCCAGAGGGGTCGGAAACCCTGGCCGCCGCGCCCCGGTGACTCTGCTGACCCCTAACCAGTACCCACCAAAACTACGAGCCACCAGCCCCACTGCCACCAGCCAGCCCAACCTCTTGTCCTTTTGTGCTGCGTTCCACAGGCCCTGTCCCTCCAGCAGGCACAAGTAGCAAAATGCACAGACAGCAGTTGGCTAGTTTAGGAAAACCTCACACTTTTCCTAGATGGGTAGGTGCTCAACTGGATTTGTGGTTCTCGATGGACTCACCATATGGTTAAGGAAGAGGAAAGATTACAAGTGGAAAGCATAGTAGGAAACTACACTAGACTCAAATAGAGTTTTAAAGTAGACTAGTTAAAATCTTCCCATCTAGTACTTGAGATTACAGATTTAAATAATGGCGTAATTGCTGTCAGCTACCCTGACCCTCAATGCTATATATGCATTGTGCCGCCCTTTCCTACTAGAAAGGACATACTGAATTTCTTTTAAAGATACTTGGAAACTGGCTTTCAGAGGTTTATAGCAGCACCAAAACTTGGAATCATCAACCAAACACTTAATAATTGACTGTAAGAAGAGATTATTATGGCTTGAAGGAAGAGAAGCCAGTTTTTCTTTTCATAGTGCTCTTGACGTCTATGAGGTTTTGGTGGGGTTTTCTGTTATAAAACAAATAGTTTTTGATGGCATCTTTTAGCTCCACTTTTACACATGGAAGGAAAATAAACATTGGAATTCTGTTTGGAAAGTTCTTTTACAAAACTTTTATTCTTCTTTAAGCCTAGAAGCTTATAAATTGCTGAAATAGAAACTGTGGAGAAGCAGCAAGCTGCAGTTGTTTTGAAAATGGTAATAATGTTTACTGGCAGCCACCTTGAGTCATAAGCACAAACCCATTGCCAGTGCATTCCATTCTGACTAGTGTGTTACAGAGTAGAGCTGCTCTATAGGACTCTCTTGGCTGTGATCTTTCTAGAAGCAGTTTGCAGTGGTGTGTTCTCTGTGTATGTGTTTGTCTGTAAGTTGTTGAGTCACTTCCAGTTGGTAGTGATTTAGGTGCCTGTGGAACTATAGGGTTTTCTGGATGATCATCGTGGGTGCAGTGTGCTAGATCCTTCTCCAGTGGAGCCACAGGGAGTGTTTTGAGTTAACCAGTCTGTCGGGCTAGCAACCTAGTGTTTCGTCACTAGGGGCCTTTCTAGGTTAAAAGCCAAAAGTACAACCTTTATTCCCTTTCCCCTGACAGGTCTTTTTGTTTCCTGCCACGGTGCCTCGGGCTCATTTGTTGACCTTATCGCTGCATTTTTCTGTTACTTTGTTTTCAGTGGCAAAAAAGCTTTTAAACACAGAATTTTAACATCTGATGGCAGATGGAAAAAGAACTCATTGTTTACCTTGTAAAACTACAGTTTGAAAATCTTAACAATTTTGCCTAACTTGCTGGCTCTTCTGAGTGGAACTGGGGAGAGACATGAGAGTGAGATTTACTTGTTGCTTTGGTTCCACTAGAATGCATTACTTAAAAATAGTTTGGCATGATAATGATTATAAACTTGTGCTTGCTTATAAACTACGTGGCTGTAATTTTAAATGACGTAGAAGAAATGATCTTGAAATAAGACTTGTATATACAATTTTATCACCTTAAGAAGTTTTCCATTTAAATTTATTTCCTTTTTTTAAGTTAAAAAACCAATGAGTACATTTAAAATATTACACCATGTAATAAATCTACATGTGGACACTTTTGGACTTCTGTCATTTTAATTAGAATGCTCCATTCCCTAATTGTTCTTATTCATCAATGACAGTGGTTCACCCCAGGAAAGCTAGCTCCCTTTGACCTGGTCTAATGGATGTGCTGCTGTGATATAAACATTGATGGATATCTCTGTACTTACGTACAGTTGAAGAGTAAGCATTTTAAAGATGAAGCAAAATATAAGTTAATAAGTAAATAACATCAATTGCCACTGAGTGGATTTCAAGTCATGATGACTCTTTGTGCGCAATATGGCTTTCCAAAGATGTAGGGTTCCCCCTCCCCAATCTTTTTTAAAAAAAATTAGATAACCGGCTTTGTCTAGTGGACTTGAACTCTGACCTTTTAATTAGCAACTGAACAATTTTGTCCTTTATAGGGACTTTATGTGTCCAAAGAGTATCATTACACTGAGTGAAATGTGCTAGATGTTAGACATTCATAAAGGTTTTTATGTTTGTGAAATTTTTAACCTCTGACTTGTTCCTGAGTCTCTAGGAGAAGCCATTGAAATAGATTAAGAGTTAAGAGTGGGGAGCTGAATAAAAGCTGCTGGAGGAGTGTTCTTGGCAATTTAGAAATGAGTATGTAAAAGGAACAAAAAGGTGTTATCGACTTGTGAATAAATGTTAGTAAAAGTTAATCAGATGACTGGCAACCATTGCCCAGAAACTGTCAGGCAGTCTTGAAACAGCCATTTAGGTCTTAGGAGGACTTGAGATTCTTTTTCTCCTGAGCTAAGGATGTCATTTTTAAAGTATACCACAAAGTTCTAAGAGCTCAGCTTTGTAATTAGTTCATTATACTACTTTGATTGGCCCAGTTTTATTCCTTTTAGAGTAATATCTTAATTTTTTTTTTTTTTCAAGCTCATGGCTGAGTGTCCTCCTGACTTTTATATACTCATCACTTTTTATTGAGAAGTTTCTCATTATATAAAGCAGTAAAATATGTTAACTGAATGCAAGGAGCTCTTTCCGTAGTCAGTTGCCAATAAGACAAACGGATTGCAATATCCATATGCACTTTATTACAGATCTGGGAGGACAGCGAGTTGGCCTCAAAGACTGCTCCCAGTAATATCTTAAATTTAAGATGGCTTACATATCATAGCATAAGGACCTTCCTTGTGTTATGTGATGTGCAGTCTTCCAGTTTACTGGTTTAGGGACTTGGGCTCTAAGGTCTATCAGATTTGCTCAAGGTCACTTTAGGGGACAGAATTTGTAGTTTACATTTTACTCAGTGTAGTTCATGACTGCACATGTCAGACCCCTATAGAAATAACCAGTTATGTATTTTTTAATGTTAAAAGATTCCTAGTTTTAAAGGGGATTTAATTTATTCCCCTCCAAGTAGAGTATTGATATTTGAAACTGTTAAATATACTGGAGCCCTTGTTTTAAATATTATCTAAGAAACTTTTATACTGCATCAGATACTAAGATGTGTATTACAAGATTATTTTTCTTCTCTCAATTCAAGTTGTCTTTAAAATCATATTATTTTTCTTAGCTCCTTAGCTTTTTCTCTTGCCGGCATTCTACTCACGTAGACATGCACAATTCAAGAACACTATTTTTATTCTTAACATCCATGACATTATGCTTCTGTCTGTATTCTTTGAAGTCATGATTTGCAAGTTTCCTCATCTTTCGTATCAGTTTTTCTGTCATTAAAAATTGGTGTTCCTGTTAGCTGCTCTGTCACTTTCTGGAGTGGATATACATTACAAATAGCTGCTCCTGTGTAATACATCCTAGGTGAGACAACTCCAGGAATATTTAAGTATAGTCTTTTGTAATCTAGCCATTCGTTTTTAAAAAATAAGCTTAGATATATGAAAAAGTTAACTTCTCTAAAGTAAATTTACAAGTTCCTATGGCAAATATTTGCATACATGGCAAGAAAATTTACTTTTGTCTTCTTTCCCACTCTAGGCGGCCAGCATCGAAATGTTCAACCTTTTAGTGACGAAGATGCATCCATTGAAACAATGAGCCATTGCAGTGGCTACAGTGATCCTTCCAGTTTTGCCGAGGATGGTATGGCTTTAATTTATTTACCGCTTCTGGGTGCGAGGTTATTTTATTAAAAGACATTAGTATGATTGAGGTAGACTATTATATGTTCCCTCTGCTTTCCCTCCTCCCCCTTCAAATTACTGTGCATGATTTATGTTATTCCGTAGGACCAGAAGTCCTGGATGAGGAAGGAACTCAAGAAGACTTAGAGTACAAGTTGAAGGGGTTTATTGACCTAACGCTGGACAAGAGGTAGGGAGTATTGAAACTCTTTATTCTGGATGATTTTAATCAACCATCCTGATAATTTTAATGTGTGTAGTTCTCTAACATAATAGTATATTTTCCGTTAAATTGTGGTTTGAAGTTTTATGATTTACTTTTCTTTTGGGCTGCTAATGTTAGGCAGGAGAATGCCAGCAGAATTGAGCTTAATGTATATTGTTCTGGAATATTGTTCTGCATTTGATAATAATTGAAGTGGGTTTGTTGAGATACAAGATGATATTCAAGCAGAATAGACAATAAAACTTTTAAGTCGTCTGCCCTCATACTGTATGACAGATATGAAAGATACCAAAGCTAAATTGTTTTAACTTTTTATTGACTTGACTACAGCTCTAGAGTGAATATAAAAAAAATGGAATGAAGAAACGCAGAATATGCAGACATGACTTTTGTAGGATTAAAAATGTTCTACTTGAAATGTTTCTTAAATATTGAGTTGTAGGGTATTTATGTCATTTAAAGTTGAGGCTAATAAACAATCAAATGCTAGTTAATGTATGGCAGCTTCAAATCTTTATGTAAATAGAGCTAGTTGTAGATGGAAATCAAATTGTAGAAAACTGATCAGAACTTGATGACAATTAGATAAAAGAAATTTGTGCATAGCAAAATTTAGTCGAGAACAAGCTGATGTTTTTTGGTAGTACATGTCAATTGCATCTTCTTTCTCTTCCATTTTATTTTAAACAGTGCAAAGACAAGGCAGGCAGCTCTTGAAGGTATTAAAAATGCAGTGTCTTCAAAAATGCTTTATGAATTTATTCTGGAAAGAAGAATGACTTTAACTGATAGCATTGAACGCTGCCTGAAAAAAGGTAATGCCTTTATTTTTGAGTCACAGGCATAGAACCATAATCATATTTACGGATGGCTTGTCATTTGCTGAATCTTCCCTACTGTATTTGAATTCTAGAACTTTGTAGTTGAAACTATAGAATTCATATTGTTGTAGAACCTGGTAATGAAAGATCTGCTAGCTTTGGGTTACAAGATTTTTCAACTTTGGAACCACAGAAATGAACAAAATTTGAGGCTGTCAGTTTACTTTTCTTTTGCCATGTGAATACACGGAAATGTCTTCTGTCACTGTTACCGTTTTATTTTAAAAAAGAATATCTCTATTCATGTTCCATTGCACTAAATAAACTTGGCTTTTGTGTCCTTTTTCTTGTCTCGGGTGGAAGCCTTGTCATGATTTAAGCCTCTGTATTTAATCCACCCTTTATTGTGCAGGTTAAAAAAAGGCCAAGGAAAAGTGACACTAATCTGTGGTTGCGTAACTTGTTAGTTGTACAGTTGATAGCAGAATCAACCTTCTAAAGGTTCTGTGATATCATCGTGAAGGTGTTCTACATGGACAGTGCCTCCTACAGTGAGCGGTTAGCACGACCGTTACTTCAAGATTCCATTCAAGTTGTGTATTTTATAACTGCATAGTTTTTACATAATAAATAAGTTTTAATATTTTCCTGAGCTGTTTGGTGTTTACCATGTTGAAATGGCAGAAATATGTTTAAGGAATGTTTTAAGGAGTAGATTGTATACGTCTGAATTGCTTAAGTGATTAAGTCTTAGCCTACTTGAGTGTTGGTCATGTGCACCCGTTAAGGCCTCGGAAGGTAGAAATGATGTTTAAACATTTCGTTGAACTGTTAGGGTGCTATCTGAAGGTACGTAGTAATCTTTGTTTCACAAATAAACTGGTTTAGGGAACAGAAAGAATCAGTTGAGGGGAGCTCTGGTGGCCTAGTGGCAAGGAACTGCAACTACAATCCCAGAGGCGCACGGTTCGAATCCACCAGATGCTGTGCCGGGGAAGGAGGGACAATCTCCTCCTGTACCAGTCAGATCTGATTTGACAGTACATGCACACAAAAATTAAAAAAAAACAAAACAAAGAATCAGTTGAAGGCTGTTTGACTAATATGTGTGCATTTAGGAGATGAATGAGTGAGTTACATCTGCAATGTTAGTTCTTACGTTCATAGGTTTATTACTCAAGTAAAAGTCGTGCAGCAGGAACGTTTCATACACTGCTAATTTGAGATTTTGGAAGTTTGCTGTTTTGTAAGCTCTATTTCAGTTCGTCGGCTGCAGACACTTGGTCATGGTTGTGTCTTGCTTGACGTCTCCTCATAGGTAAGAGTGATGAGCAACGTGCAGCTGCAGCCTTAGCGTGTGTTCTTTGTATCCAGCTGGGCCCCGGAATTGAGAGTGAAGAGATTTTAAAAACCCTTGGACCAATCCTAAAGAAAATAATTTGTGACGGAACAGCTAGTATCCAGGCTAGGCAAACTGTAAGTATAAGACTGGAGATGTTTTAATTTATAGATCTTGTGTTGGCATGCTGCCCAGATATTCTGATGATGAATCTAGGAAAGTAACTTTCTTTAAATAGTAGCTTTTAAGAATTATTTTACTCTTTTTTTAAAAAAATTATTTTACTCTTAATCTGTCTTCTGGTTTGAATGAACAGTCAAAATATGATGACTATTCTGAAACTCCACAGAGCATTTCATATACTGTAAATTTCTATATCTTTGAATTTGGAGATAATTTGTTGGTAATATATACTATATTGAGTTACTAGAAATAATTGCAGATTAATTTTGGGCTGGACCTTGAAGAAATAGTGCAGATACTGAATGTTTATTGAGTGATTATTTTTTTTATCCTGAGAAATATACGAGTAGAAAATTGGTCAATAACAATTTTTTTTCTTTCCTTTTGTGGCTGCCTTGGCCTGGGCCATCTTTTCAGAAAGCATAACGCTATATTCATGTACACTGGACTGGTGGATTTGGGTTGGTGTAGAAAATGGTGAAATTGAAGTGAAACATCTTGTTTTGAAGTTTGGGAAGAATTTAATTCACCAGTATTTACTACTTTTAACATTTGCCTTTAAGTGGTGGTTTTAGATCTTCATTGTTGCTTTTATGAGCTGATAAATTGTTTAAATGATCAAATGAACACCATTTGCTGTGTTACAGAAATTTGACCTCTATCCTTTGTTCTGGATGAGAAGCTCACTACTGCCTCCTCCAGAAGGTCATTTGTTGTTGTTGTGTCATTGAACTAAATCCTGCTCATAGCTGACCCTCCAGCAAGTTTTCAGAGGCTGTAAGTCATGCAGGATAGACTGCCCATTTATAGCCTGTGGTAAATTCGAACTGTTTGCCTTTGCAGCACAGCTGCCTACCACTAGACCACCAGCACTCCCTGGGAGGTTATATATAGTGGCCATTTTTTCTCTCTCCATGGTGCCTGAAAGCTTTTGCAGGTAATTTAAACAGCAATCTTTAACAAAGTTAAAAATTATCAGGACAGACAATCACACCTGCAACCGTCCACATTAAATGACTTAACCGAATTCTAGGGCTACTCATGTATGCCTAGGTCTTGTGCCAGTCAACTTGTGGCAAACTTCCTTGAGGTAACCTACCCTGCCTCATTGAGTTTACTGTTAAGCAAAGTCTGGGTTGAAATTCACTTGGATTGACTTTTGGTTCAGTTCCTCTTTGTACTTTTCCCCACCATACTTTGCTTGTTGTTACATAGTTGAGAAAAGTTTCACACTGAAATATTTTCACAGCAGCAATATGTAAACTTAATAAAATAATATAACTTTTTTTTTAAATAGTGTGCAACTTGCTTTGGTGTTTGCTGTTTTATTGCCACAGATGACATTACTGTGAGTATAAGACCTTTGATTTCAGTTCTTTGTACATAAACCCAGTTGAAGCCAGTTATCTTACATGATACTCTTGTGCATTAGGAGCTGTATTCAACTCTTGAATGCTTGGAAAATATCTTCACCAAGTCCTATCTCAAAGAGAAAGACACGAATGGAATTTGCAGCACCCCTAACACAGTGCTTCACATCAGCTCACTTCTTGCATGGACCTTATTGCTGACCATATGTCCAGTCAATGAAGTGAAGAAAAAGCTCGAGATGTATGTATTTCAGTTTCATGTTTTATTAAGACACATTCAGTGTTCACGTAATAAATAACAATGATGGTGATAATAAACTGTTTTCTAGGCATTTGCATAAACTTCCAAGCCTGCTGTCTTGTGATGATGTAAACATGAGAATTGCTGCTGGTGAATCTTTGGCACTTCTCTTTGAATTGGCCAGAGGCATGGATAGTGTAAGTATTTAATTGGTTAAGGAAAGAGTTCCTTTCTTTCACAGTTGAGCATTGATATCTTTGGAGTGTGTTCAGCTTGAGAATGTTGTGGTTGAATTGTGGGCCTTTGAAGTGGCAGCCCCACTCATTGTCACTAAGCCACTAGACCGGTTGTTGTTGTTGTTGTCGTTACCTGCTGTCGAGTCACCTAAACCCTGCTCTGTACTGTGCCAACCTTATTTTCTCTAGCACACTTACCCACACCACCCCGGTGACTAAATCAATCCATCTCATCGAGGGTCTTCCTCTCTTGTGCTGTCCCTTCACTCTCCCAAGCATGACATCCCTCTCCAAGGACTGGTCCCTTCTTGCAACATGCCTAAAATATGTCAGATGAAGCTTCAGAATCCTTGCCTCCAAGGAGCAGCTTGATTTAACCCTCTCCAGGATTAACCTGTTCGTTTTCTTAGTAGTCCATGGTATGTTCAGTACCCTGCTCCAACACCACGGCTCATAGGCATCAATTCTCCTGTCATTCCCAGAGCTCTGATGAATAGCAAGTGATTGCAAAACCATGGCCTGTATCAGGCTCACTTTAGTCTCCAGAGTGGCATTATTGCTCTTCAGTACTAGACAGGTAGCTACTACTAATTAGTCAGTGGAGAGTGCCTCCTCTCCAGTAGTCTAGCAGTGGCCTTTTGTTGCTGTTGTTAGGTGCTGTCAAGTTGACTACAACTCATAACGACCCTCTGAATCACAGATCTGAGCCTTGCCCTGTCCTGTACTTAGTCCTCACACTCTGCCATGTCCAAGCTCATTGTTGTGGTTACTGTGTCATTCCAGCTCCTTGAGAATCATCTTCTCTTTTGGTGTCCTTTACCAGCGTGATGTCTTTTCCCAAGGAATAGCCCTTCCTGATAAGATGCCCAAAGTATGTGAGGTGATGTTTCACCATCTTTGCCTTTAAAAGCTCCTTGATCACTCTTCTCCAGCATAGGCTTGTTCTGGCAGGCCTTGGGATATTCAGTTAGGAACTCTCAAATTCAAACACATAGCTGTGGAGTTCGTTCCAACTTACCTACCTTCCTGGTTTTCTGAGCAGTGCTATAAATGCCATGAGACACCCCATCATTCTACCCTGGAGTCTTTCTGTGGAGCCAGACCACTGAAGGTTCTTGACGTTTGGGCTAGCAGTGCAACTCGCTGTGGCTTTTGCTTCCAGACCCCCTCGGGTAGTTTAAAATAAGATGGAGACTCAGGTGGTGGCGCATTTACAGATCTAGAATGGGAGGAAGCTGCATGATCTGGCTCAAGACTGACTCAGGAAAATACACCAGAATATGCTACAGTCAGATTTCCCCCAATTCTTTCCTCATCTGACAAAATAGAGAGGGAGTGCCGGGAGAGGAAAAGGGAAACGATCATCCAAAACCTCAAAGTACTCCTTGGGACAAAATCTTCAATAATGTAGGGTTTGTTTACCTCGAAAATGGAGAGTCCGTGTTCTTCTCCCTTCCTGTCTTTGTCTGTAAGAAAACTGCCTCTATGGAAGAATATCTCTTTCTAAAAATAATGCTTCAGCAGGAAATAAAAGTATTTGTGCTCCAGTAGAGTGAACACCATTCCAGAAAGAATGCTCTGTGTTTTGCAGAGAATTAGGGAGGGATCAAAATTAAGGTAGTTGTAAAAGGTGCATTTTGTTTAAAATCAATGCTTTTACCTAGAAATACGAATTTTTGGAAAGATATTTTGTGAATTTAGTCTCATTGTGTTAATTTTGGGGTTGACATATTTTCAAATAAGGTCATATTTTGAGATACCAAGGGAATATTATTGGGAGGACCTATTAACACCTAGTATAATCACCTTGTTTAATGATAAAAAATAAGAGGTACTTTGCTTAAACTTCAAGTTTTCTGGGGTTTCATCTTAATACCAGTAAAGTTTTAAAGCCATTAGTTGATTACAGCAGTTGTCTAAATGCTAAATCATTGTCTCTAGCTCACCTTTTAGTCACATTTTTATTGGATAAAACTGAGAAAGGTTATAATAATAAGACCAATTGCTTAGTGGATTTATATAATGTATATGCTTTTAATGTTTCAATGAGTCCCTATAATACACTTACATAAGATGTGAGTGATATTAACTATTCCCATTTTATGTAAGCGGATCTTGACACACAAATTGCTGTTTACTTAGGACCAAGTTCTCGTAAACCCAAGTGGTGGATGCTTGTCATTCAAGCCTGTATTCTTTTGATTGTAAAACCTTTTATGTGTGACAGTAAATTAACTGCCTCATCAGATAGGTGTCTTTGCTTGTTGGAGTCTTTTCATTGAAGTTGAAAATTAATTCCACTAAGTGTAGGGACTTAATAACAGTTCATACTTCATAGTTTTATTTGTAATAATCAATTGGCAGCATCAAGATGGATGGTGAAGAGATTGAGATTGTTGTCAGCTTTAGTTTGCTTGGCTCCACAGTCAACAAACTTGACACCAGCAGCCAGGAATTTAAAAGATATATTGCGATGGGAAAGTCTGCTGTTAGGGACCTCTCCAAAGTACTGAAGAGCAATCAGATACAGGCCATGGTCAATCCTTTGTTAGGTGTCAGAGAGTTGGACAGTGACTAGGGAGGATAGAAGGAGAATTGATGCCTTTGAACTGTGGTGTTGGTGGAGAGTATTGAGAGTACCATGGACTGCTAGGAAAACAAACAGATTCATCCTGGAAAGGGTTAAACTGGGTGGCTCCTTGGAGGCCAGGATTCTGAGGCTCTGTCTAACATACTTTGGACATGTTATAAGGAGGGACCGGTCCTTAGAGAAGGACATCATGCTTGGTAGGGTGTAGGGACAGCGCAGGAGGGGAAGACCCTCTATGAGGTGGATTGATTCAGTGACTGGGGTAATCGGGAT